AAACCAGTGTTATGCCTCGAGAGGGCCACTGACCAGATAAATATTTGTACATTAGAGTGGATAGTATAAAACCCTACCTATGTCATTCCCCCTTAAATGTAATCTGAGGAAGTCAAGTCAAATGAGTTGTGGTTATTCACATTTGTGATAATAATGCTGTTGCCACCACCTGCTATGCAGTACTTACGTAGCTTACCAACTGCCTGAGAGAAGTTAGAAACCATTAAAACAATAACTAGCATGTTCATAACAAAAAGTCAACACACTGTCCACTATCAACAGGAAGGCATAGTGGGATGATAGAGTGATAGCAGACAGGAGAAGAATAGGAAGTGTCAGAGGGAAATGTGAATAAGAGAATGGTCTTACATCAAAAATCAAGCCCATGCTTCAGTGAAAATGGCAGAAAAATGTTCTGTGCAAAAATCAGAGTCCATTCAAGAATTTTGTCTACACAGTGAAGATTTTAAACAATTATGCTTTATCCCACAAGTAGCATGTATGCGTACATGTAACATTTATCTCCTAAATTTCCACTAAAAGAAAAGAGATAGATTTAAAAAAGATAAATAAAAGTCACATGGCACATAACAGGAAAAAATTAAAACTTTTGTTAATTGTGACACAACCAATAGAATGGAAAGGAGACCTACAGAAAGGGGGAAATATTTGCAAATCATGTATCTGGTAAGGGTTAATATCCAGAATACATAAAGGACAGCCCAACAACAAAGTAATAAAAAATGGCTGAATTGAGATTTCTTCAAAGAAGCTATACAAATAGCCAAAAAATACATAAGAAGATGATGAACATCACTAATCATGGAAATGCAAATAAAATCTACAGTGAGATACTAACTCACACTTATTAAGATGGTTACTATAAAAAATAAAACCAGGAAATAATAAGGGTTGAAAAGAAGCTGGAGAAACTAGAACCCCTGTTCACTGTTGTAAAATGATGTAGTCACCATAGAAAACATTACAGCAGTTACTAAAAAAAAAAATCGGAAACAATTACCAAATAATCTAGCAATTCTACCTCTGCGTATATAACCCCAAATAAGTGAACACAAAGTTGTACAAAGATGAGTATTTGTTCACTCATGTTGATAGCTGCATTATTAATAACAGCCAAAAGGTAGAAATAAGCAAAATGTCTACTGATGGATAAATACAAAATTGTGGTATATACTTTTATATATATACAATGAGATATTATTCAGCCTTAAAAAGGAAAGAGATCCTGATATATTTGATAATATGGATGAGTCATGAGGACATGATGCTAAGTGAAACAAGCTAGTCACAATAAGACAAGTACTGTGTGATTCCACATCTAAGTTACTTAGAGAAGTCAAATTTATATCTAGTGGAAAAGAGGTTTTCAGGGGTTAGTGGTAAGAGGAAATATGGTGTTTAATGGGTGGAAAGTTGAGTTTTGCAAGGCAAAAAGAGTTTTGCGATTGGTTGCATGTGAAAGTACTTCACACTACTGAACTGTGTATTTAAAAGGGGTTAAGATGGTAAATTTTATGCATGTAGTATACCAGTTTTTTTCAAAAAGAGAAAAAAACCAAACCACAGGAAGAAAGATACATTATGTGTAGAAGAATGGTAACAAAAATAACCTCTCATCAGAAACAATGGGGGTCAGAAGATCCTAAAATGGCATCCTTTAAAATTCTAACAAAAAAATAAAGTCATCATTTCAGAATTTTATACCCAACAAAAAAATGTGTAGCTCAAGGTAGGCCTTAGATTTCTGGGGGCTTTATTCCCAGAATTAGGAAATCCCATTTCCAGCTTTCTCCATTCTGGGATATTCCATTCCTTTATACTGTTCAAAACTGAAAGTGAAAGTGGAGTAGATCAAACAGTTATATATTTGGGTAAAAAAAATTATAAATTTGTGAAAGGAAGTATAAGGCATTATTAATTTCAGAACCAGAATCTATAATCAGATGAATATGTATTCTTGCTTACCCTACAGGGGAACATAAGATTCCTTTCCGCAAGGCATTTTGTGGATGATGTGTTAAGTAACGGAAATAAATTTGGAAAAGTAACAAGATTAAAAGCAAAAAAAACTGAAGGTGAAGTTGAAATATTGTTAGATAAATAAGCATTGGGAAAACTTGTCATGAGGGAACGCACATGGTAAGAATGGTAAAGAAAGCTCTTCAGGGCCTCCCCAGTGGCACAGCGGGTTGAGTGCCGCACTGTGAAGCTGTCCGCAGCCTCTGCAGCACGGGTTCGTTTCCCAGCCGGCCAGGGAGATACCTACATGGCGCAGCAGAACTCTCCTGTCTCCCCCACTGCTTTGGTCCATCTGCCTGTTCTGCTCCCCACTCTGTCTCTGGTGAATTCTCTCACCCGCCTGCACCTTTGGCCTGTACCCCCGCTCTTGTATAAATAAATAAATCTTAATAAAAAAAAAGAAAGCTCTTCAGACTGAAGAAAAATAAAGCCAGGTCAATGCCCTATCAGTCAAGGTTTAATATTGGCTTTCAACACTCACATATATTTTTAAGAACTTGGGGAGAAATAGCATCTCACAATTATGGAGATATTTACTATTTTTGTTGCTCTTCCTTCATTCCTGAAAATCTTACTATCTTGCTTTAGTCTAAAGAACTTCCATATCATCCCTTCAAATTAGATCTCTTGGAAATTCTCTTATTTTTGTTTTTATATTTTGAAAGGACAAGTTTATTAGGTAAAATAGAAAAAGAGTTATACCTGCATAGTCACAGTCAGGCAGGATAGCTGCCTCAATTCTCTTATTTTTCTTTCACTAAGAATGTTTTAATTTTGTATTCATTCCTGAAAGATAATTTTGCAGGATATAGACTTCTAGGTTGATAAGAGAATTTCCCCCCTCTTTCCACTAATTTCAAGTGTGCTTTCTTTTATTATTGTTAAAGTATAGACTTTTAAATCTGTGTCTGATAATTCCAACATCTGGGTTGTATTAGAGCTAGCATCTGTGCTTTTCCTTGAGAATTGGTTACATTTTTCTAGTTCTCTGTAAGCGGAGAAATTTAGGATTATGTCCTTAGTGTTGCGTAGACTCTGGGTTCTGTAATAACTCTCAGGAGAATGTTGTTGGTTTTTTTTTTTTCATGCAATCAACCTGGTTAGGTTCAGCCTACACGTTCTGTTTCTCTTGTGCGCATTAGCACAAATTTCAATTATTTAGTTCACAAAGCCTTTGCTGGTTTGGGTCTGTCCCACATATGTGTAGCTCAAAGTAGGCCTTAGGTTTCTGGGGGTTTTATCCCCAGTATTAGGAAATCCCATCTCCAGCTTTCTCCATTCTGGGATACTGCACTCCTTTCAATATCCCCAAGGACTCCCTTTCTAGTTCCTCTACCTAGAAAAATGAATTTCTATTGGTGTTTCAACCCCCTGCACCATTGTGCTGCTCTGTGGTGGGGCCCATATTCAGGAAAAATCCATAAGAGATAGAAATGTTACCTCGGTGTAGTTTCTTCTCTCACCTCTGTATCTGCCTCCTTTTACTTGCTTTGTAGAGTCTTTGTGTAACTGCATTTGTCCCCATAGAGAAAATGGAACTACTAAATTTTTTTTTTCAGAATTTTATCTCTTTGCTAAATTTCATCATCTCTTCACTCATTATCTATTTCTCCCACATAGTAAAGCAATTTAAAAATCTTTGTATGTTAGGTACAAAATATGGATTTATTTTGTTTTGTTTCTATAAACTTGAGTTCTTTCAACTTGGGTGAACTTTTAGTTTCTTCATGTGTCTAGCAATTTCTCATTATATACAAAACATCTTGAATATGTTAACAGAATTTTTTTCATAGGAAAAGCCATTCATACTGGGACCCTGTGTGGGTTCCTTTAGGAAAATGGGTATTTGAGTGTTTTGTGAGAGTGACTAGACTAGCATAGAGTATAGAAAGAAATGAAAAGAAATTGAGTTCTAGACCTACATCAGTCATATATTAGTTGTAAGCCTCAGTTTTTTCATCTATGAACTTGAGATAAATCTGTACTGGCTATCTCCAATATATTTGATTGGCTCAAGTGAGATTATGCATGAAAACATTTTGTCAAGTGATATGTCTTCTATGGTGCTTTCCAGTATGGTAGCCACTAGCTACGTGTGACTACGGATCATTTGAAATGTGGCTAGTGCTACTGAGGAACTTAATTTTATTTTTTTATTTATTTATTTTTTTAATAGAGGCATGTTTTATTTATTTATTTATTTGTTTGTTTTGTTTATACATGCACTGGGTACAGTCAGAAGCGCGGGAGGGTGAGAGAATTCACCAGAGCCAAAGCGGGGAGCAGAGCAGGCAGAAGGACCGAAGTACACTGCTGAGGGGAGCAGCGGGCGGCAGGAGAGGTCTGCGTGCCATGTGGGACCCCCCTCCGGTGGCCGGGGAGCAGCCGGGGATCAAACCGGTGCTGCAGAGGCTGCGGGCAGCTTCGCAACCCAGCGCTCAACCGCTGCGCCACCGGGGAGGCCCGGAACTTAATTTTAAACTTTATTTAATTTTAATTAATTCACACTTAAATAGCCACATGCAGATATTGCTCTGGATGGAATAGTGCAGCTGTAGAGCAAAAGTCAAGTAAGGATTTATTTCATAATGTTACAGTTTTATAGCTATACTTTCATGGCCAACAAGTAAATTGACTTTATTTATTTTAATCTGAAACTCTTGCCCCTAACTCCTTCCCCCCCCAAATAAACAAAGGGAAAAAGTTTTTATAGCATGATTTGAGTTGAAGAAGAGTTTTGATGAAGAAGAGTTTTCTTTGGAATTCACTTATCACTGTATAGCACCATAGATGATACCAATAAAATATGAAGATTAGCTAAGCAAAAAAAGCACATACGTATTTGTTCACCTAAAGATACATCTTTTAATTCCTGCTCTTTAAGCAAAAAAGAGAGACTGAAAAGCACTAGGTCGTGTGAGTGGCCATTCGACCCACAATTGCCTATAGCAGTCTCCTACCTTGTATTTTCTGCTCTCCGGCTTATGCACTGGTGCAGGTAGAGATACTCCTGAGGCGCGCTGGTGGACAAGGTGGGCTGCACATGGTTGGACACAGGGGGATCAAATGTGAACAACGTTGGCTGACTGGAGTGCGAGGGGGCAGACGATTTTCGTTCTCGGAGAAGGTGCTGATTGGAGCTGCTGAGCTCGGCGGGAGAGGAGCGGGGGCCATGGCTGGCTGAGAGGTTTCTCAGGGAATCTGTGAGAAGGAGAAAAAACTCTGTGAATGAAAAAGGAAAGCAAGATGGCCCTACCCCAAAGTGGGTGGTGAGAGGAAGAAGAAATAATTAGGATCCGAGGCAATGACTCAGCAGAGCATTCTCTTTTTCTCGGCCCTTCTGGAAAAGAGGGCTGAGGCCTCCTGGCTTGGAACCTCTGATGGCTCCTGGCATTGCCCAGAGGCCATTCCCTATCACCACCTGAGCAGAGTCTCCCCACTTCCAGCAAGTGTGGCTGCCTATGCCCCAGCAGTGGACTCTGGTCCTCAAGCAAGGCCAGCCTCCTGAGCGCTGAGCCCTTCTCTCTGATGGTGCCTGCTGGTGGGTATCCACTGTCTCCCTCAGAGACTGGGCTCGCCTGGTTAAAAGAAGTTTTGTTTCCTAAAGACTCATTAATTGGGACACTGGACTATGCCTGACTACAATAATGATAAAAGCACAGATATGTTTGGAGCTGTCCTCCATTGGCCTCAGTTCCTTTCACCTGCCCTTTGAAATCCTTTGAGGACAGTAAGGTTCATATTCCCCACTCCCCAACTCCTGAACCCACCACTCTCTGTCTATTGCTTCCGCCCCTCTTAACTCTGGTCTTAAACTCTGCTATGCTGTACTAGAAAGGAAGTGAAGCATTAAAGACAGATTATAGTTTAGTGTGCTCGACCCCAAGCCAAGGACTTTATTCATGTGGCTTGTTCTCTAAGCTTAGCCAGATTCCTTAGCAAAACATACGAGGCCTTTCACAGTCTGACCCACTTCCTGCTTTGCTCCTCCCATACCCAAGGCATACGGAAGCATCAACAATCCCTGAACACACCAGCCCCTTTTATGATTCTCTGTTTTGCCTTAGGTTGTTTCTTCTGCCTGGATTTCACGTCTACTCTGCACAAATAAGCAAACCTGAACACCCTACATGGGTGTCATATTGTCTCTGAAACCTTCCTAGGCTTGGCCATTCTTCTGGGTGCCCATAGCACACGGTTTATGCTTCCTTGCCTAGTCCAAGGGTTTCTAAGAGTAGAAACGAATGTCATTACCTCTGTAGTCCCAGCACCTCTCTATAAAGACCAAGTACATACGAAGTTCTTGTCTGTGCTTACAGAAAAAGCAAAAATATTCATTTAGTACAATAATTCCAGTAGTGAAACTTCTTATTCAAAAGAAAAAAAGGTGTAAAGATTAATCTCTGGTGATATGATCAGTAGTAGAGGGATAATGTTTTAGTGGGGGTGATGGTGGCTTTTTAGGGTTATTCAAGTCATTTCAGAAGGGAAAGTTCGTTCTCTTTCCACTCCGTCGTCTGACCTATTTCAGGCTGTGCCCTTCTCATGGCCCTAGGCAGGATCACTAGCTCATTAATACTCTGCAGAATTAATTACTCTCCAGTATTTTCTGATGCTAAGCAGGACAACTTGGGCCTGTATAGAGCAGATAAAAAGCCACTGGCCTCCAGGGACGAACCGTCCCATTGACAGTTGTATTGACCTCCAAAATGAATTCCCATTACGGGTCTTGTAGTGAACTGGATGTTTGTTAACAGAATCGATGGCTTCATTACTCCATTAGATTTGCAAGATGAACTCTCTAATGGCAGAGGGAAGAGGGCTTGTGCTAGGGGATGGAGTGGCCGTGGCGCCAGGAGTGCATATAAGTTGCTACTTGAGAATACACAGGGAAGGTGCAAAGAGAAACCACTGGTGTGATTCTATATCTCTGTGGTCTTTCTGGACTTCTCCTCCTCTGCTCACTGCTTTAACGGGGGCTTCTTCAGGGTTCCACCCCAGACCCTGCCATTTGCCATAGCTTCCCTCCAACTCAGAAGAATCTCCTGGGATAAGCTCCAGTATCTTTCCTTTAGTTTCCACCTCTGTGATGACAATTCTCGAATCTTAACCTCTGGTGCCCTTTTCTGGGCTCCCTGTTGTATTTCCCTCCACCTGCTGGACATCTCCATTCAGATGCAGGCTAAGCTCAACAATCTGAATGGTACTCGTCCTCAGCCTGTGCCTCTTATGTCAGTGAAGTACATCAATAGCACCATCTAGCCAATTCTCAAAGACAGAAACCTAGGAATGATCTATGACTCTCTCCTGTTTCCTAATTCCCAAAACCATGTCATGATATTATGTCACAGCCCTGTTTAAAATTCTTCAGTGGCAGGCCTCCCTGGTGGCGCAGCGGTTGAGCGCTGGGTTGCGAAGCTGCCCGCAGCCTCTGCAGCACCGGTTCGATCCCCGGCTGCTCCCCGGCCACCAGAGGAGGGTCCCACATGGTGCGCAGACCTCTCCTGCCGCCCGCTGCTCCCCTCAGCAGTGTACTTCGGTCCTTCTGCCTGCTCTGCTCCCCGCTCTGGCTCTGGTGAATTCTCTCACCCTCCCGTGCTTCTGACTGTACCCAGTGCTTGTATAAATAAATAAATAAATAAATCTTTAAAAAAAAAAATTCTTCAGTGGCTCCCTGTCATCTTCAAGATGCCCTTTGAAGCTTTCTGTCTCTTTAAAACCATTTTCTCGGTTATTTCTAACTTGTTTCTTACCTATACTTCTCAGTGCTTCAAACAGAATTTCAGAAACATGCCAACCTCCCTCAACACTCCATACTGTAAACTGAGGGAGTATAGAGATTCTGTCTCTTTTATAAGTTTTAAATCTACAATGTATATGACACAACTCAGTAATTATGCATGGATTAAACAGATTATATCGCATAGTAAGTCATACTACCTCAGTAACACTCTTCAGTGCTTTCAGAATAAAGTTCAGATCCCTCAGTGTGACAAGAAAAGATTTTGTCTCAACCTACTTATCCTGCCTCATCACCCAACGCATCCTTCACGTTCCTATGTTGAATGCTTGGCTTGGGTCTGTATAAACAAGTGGACCTGTCCTCACTCTGAGGCCCTCTGCCTCCAGACCAGACTGTGAGTCAAATCTGTGACATCTGCACATGGAGTAGTTACTTCTCCCATCTGAGTCTCAGCTTCCTTATTGACAAATTGACATAGGGTGGTTATAAGGATGAAATGCATGTTATAAGTATTCAAAGTGTATTCTAGTCACTTCTGTATTCTAGTCATTTCTGCCTAGAACAGTACTAGCACATAGTGGGTAGTCAATATAGTATTTGCTAAATAAATAAAAGAATTTCCCCAGCACAAAAAACCAAATACGCTTTTTTTGTGGACAAAATTGGAGACGTTTTCAAGGTCTGTTAATATGATGAAGTCTGGGTTAGGATGCTTTGGGTACACAGACACCTGGAATTTCATTTGACTAACTTAAAGTCATGTCTGTGAAACCATTTGGCTCCATTATGGTCTGCAGTCAGTTCCAGAAAAATTCTTTCAAAGCTGTTTTGTCACTAAATCTTGCCAAAATCCCACTTATGCTTGCAACTTTAAAAGATTTCTACCTGGGAACCAAACAAGGGATCAGGAAAATAAAGCAACTACAATAAAGTAAAAAGCAAAACCAACGGGCAACTCTAGATCAGAGACATTCTGTAGGGGAGAAGGAGGGAGAAGGATCAGCACAGGAGGGAAGAGCACAAGGGACCATGGGGATGGTGCACGGGTGAAATGGTGGTGGGAATTTCCCGGGAAAATCATACATTGTACACATAAGAAGAATGATGTAATAAATACATATATGTGTATATATATGAAAGATTTCTACCTGAATTTTGTGATTATTCCATGGTGCCTGTAATGAGTTGAGAAGTGTGCCCCCTGCCCCCCCCAACTCATATCTAACTTAAACCTCAGACTGTGACCTTATTAAAAACAGGAGCTCTGCAGATGTAATTAGTTGAGATGTAGTCATACTGGATTAAGGTGGGGCCTAATCCAATGAGCGATGTCCTTACAAGAAGAGAAAACAGAGACACGGAACACACAAGGAGAATGCTACATGATGACAAGGAATATTAGCCACAGAAATGAATGAAATAATGACACAATGCTACAACATGGATGGATCTTTAAAGTACTATGCTAAGTGAAAGTATGCAGTGATAAAGGGCTACAGATGGTACAATTTATGTGAAATTTCTAGAATAGGCAAATCCATAAAGACAGAAAGTAGGCTAGTGGTTGCCTGGGGGGAGGGAGTGGCGCAGAGATGGAGTGACTGCTACGAGTATGTTTCTTTCTGGGGAGGTGAAAATTTTCTAAAATTAGATTGTAGTGATGGTTACACAGTACTCACTATACCTAAACCACCGAATTGTGTGCTTTAAATGGGTGAATTTCATCTTATGGGACATAGAGCTTAGTGAATTTATAAACACATACACACTTTGACGGTTCCTTCAACAAGTTGAACATCGAGTTACCGTGTGACATAGCAAGTCTACTCTTAGGTACACACCCAGGAGAAACGAAAACCTGTTTCCACACAAAAATTTGTAATCAAATGTCCACAGCAGCTTTATTCATAATAGTCAAAAGCAAAACCAACTCAAATGCTTATAAGCTGATCAATAAATAAGCAAAATGTGATAAATCCATACCATGGAATGTTATTCAGCATTAAAGAGAATAAAGTAGGACCTCCCTGGTGGCACAAGGGGTTAAGACGCAACCTATGAAGCTATCCATAGCTACTGTAGCACAGGTTCGATCCCCGGCCAGGGAGCTACCCACATGGCGCAGCAGACCTCTCCTGCCTCGCCCGCTGCTCCCCTCAGCAGTGTATTTCAGTCATTCTGCCTGTTCTGTTCCCCACTCTGTCTCTGTTTCACCCCCCACACCTCTGGCCTGTACTCCAGCTCTTGTATGCATAAATAAATCTTAAAAAAAGAATAAAGTATTTATATATTATGACATTATGAATCCTGAAAAAATTATGCTGAGTGAAAGGGACATTCAATTATCATAATATGGGAAAATATATAGAATTCAACAATATACAAAGACAGAAAGTAGATTAATGATTGCCTAGGGTTGGGGTGAGGATGGGGAAGGGAAGTGATTGCAAATGGATAT